CCTCTCTAAATGTCTTGTAGAATTCAGCAGTGAAGCCATCAGGGCCTGGGCTTTTCTTAGTTGATAAGTTTTTAATGACATTTTCAATTTCATTGGTTGATATTGGGTTGTTTAGAATTTTTAGGTCTTCTTCATTCAACTTTGCTAATTCATATGTATCTCAATCCTAGCATTCTAGTAATGAGGAAACATCTATATGTTATTTCTCCAGACCTGAAACAGGATAATGTATTTTAACCACAAATATTTCACTGGAAAGTATAGAGCAGTGGTGACGAACCCATGGCATGTGTGCTGCAGTGGGCTGTTTGTATCACTGAAAGCTCTAAAAGGTTCACCATCACTGGTACAGTGTCTCCAGGGGTAATTTACACACTGTTTGTTTATACTTTGAAATACGAAGCCACAAGATAAACAGCAAGATGAAATCAGCACAGATCTCAACATAGGGATTCTGTAGGGTGAGTGTGGAATGGTCAATCATTTGGTGGTGTGAGAGAAGGGTACAGTTCAGAATTACAAGAGCTGAGGGGCATAAGCAGATCAGACACATAGATCTGGAATGGATCCTGCTTTGTCCCATAAAGCACAATTTTGTAATAGATGGGAAAAGTGTGAATTAAGTATTAGATAAAATGAGAATGTCAGAGAGGTGGAGATTGGACCAGGTTACACAATAGCATGGACTGCAGGGTTGCGTGTTAATTAAACTGCATCTATTTACCCATCTTCATGGAAAAGGCCTAATGGGGAGCCTCTGCTAGTTGGGTGTTGACAGTAAGGTCGTGCCCTTCATCCGTCATTTTCCAAGTTTCTATTAGGTACACATTTGGTATCCACAATGACAAAATCTATTTTGGATTTTACTGTGATCTCTTAGATTAAGAAACTAAGTTTAATTTTGAAATGATGAAGTTGTGCCTTTTATGTTTTATGGAAAACAATATTTTTTCTGTTGTTTAACCAGGTGACTTGGGCAGATTTCTACTGGGACATCTGCAGCACCACACTTCTGGTCTTTAAACCTGGCTTGCTGAACAACTGCCCCAGGTTGCAGACTTTGCGCAAGAAAGTCCAAGCCATCCCTGCCATCGCTGACTGGTTACAGCGGAGGCCCCAGACCAAACTCTAGGAAACATGTGTACCTCAGCTTCGCTGTTCACAGTCTTCCCTTCCTCCAAACACTCCAGCTGCCCCCATGATCCTCCACACACTCTCCACCCACCTCCACCAGGACTTCCACTTTTGCCATATTCTGGGTTAACAAAAAGTATTTGGTCTCCATTCCTCTTTATTTCTAAAGAATAGTTTTTCACCATTTACATTTGGTTGTTGTTGTCTGAGACTGTATCTTGCTATACACTACAGACTGGCCTCAAACTCACTTTTAGCTCAGGTTGCCCTTCAATTCACAAAGATATTCCTTCTTCAGCCACCCCTGTGTTGGGATTACAGGCATCCATCTGCCATTACACCTGGAAAATTTCACACCACTTATAACTGAGGAAAAATAGTTTACATGTGGACTTTACTTGCACCACTTCCAAATGCACAAATGCTTTGTTCAGTAACATCAGTTTCCTCCTCAAAATGGTGTAGATTTCAGTTACCACAGCATAGCAACTAAGAGTAATCAGGTGATGTATAAACTTTGCAGCTAGCTCCTTAATCCACAATTCTCTACATTAAGAACATGCACATAATGAACAATGTTCAATCATATCAGTAATCTGCACAGACAGCATAGGGTGCTTTTGTATGCTTTGCTTGTAACCAAGTGGTAAGTCCACTGGATATTTTACAAAAATGAACAAAAAGGGATCATGCTGGAGTGGATTCAAATTAACCATTAGTGGAGGTATGGGCAAAGGGCTACATGTGGGAATATGGCACTGCTACCCTTCAATAGGCTCTATACAGGAACTGAGTGCAGGTAATGCAGAAATAAACCGGGGTGGGGGGGGTAATAGAGACTGAACCCAGGCTTTGGCACTGAGCTACATCTCCAGTGTTATTTTTTTTTTTTTAGTCTTGAGACAGGGTCTCTCAAAGCTGCTAGTTCACCCACACTGGGCTTCAATCTATAATCCTCCTGCCTCAGCCTCTCAGAGTGCTGGGATTCCAGATGTGCTCCACTATGCCCATCTAGGAAAGTGGTTGTTGACAAAAAAAGTTTTACAAGTCCCAAAGAATGACACTGGCAAAAAACCAAAAACAAAACAAAACAACTTCACATTAAAAGAACAGAGATCAAGAGAATGAGAAGATAAGCCACAGACTTGGAAAAAATCCTTGCAAAGTATGTATCTGATACAGAACTGTTACTGAAAATATACAAAGAATTGGGAATACTCAAGGATAAGAAAATGAATAACCTGATTAAATCTCAGCAAAGGACTTGAACAGATAGATATTTTACCAAAAAGATAGACTGATGGCAATAAGCATATGAAGAGGTGGCCAACATAATTGTATTAGGAAGTTGCAGATTAGGATGAAATACTTGCACATACCCATTAGAATGTTGAAAAATCCAAAAGACATGAAACTCTACTGAAAATGTGGAGCCACAGGAGCTCTAGTTCATTACTGATAAGAATACCCTCTCTGTCTGTACACCCTGGGCTGTGGCAACCACCCCAGCCAAAGTGTGTCCTTGTCACTTTGGTAGGTAGGGAAAGCAATCAGACCATTGTGTGTTGGAAATAGGCAGTGGGTCGGATGTTGAAGCAGACCACTAGCCCTATGGCCAGGACTTTCAGATCCAGCTGCCTCTGAAAGCCAAACACGCTGGACCTGGCTTCTCACCATGGAGGCCATGGCCAGTGTATTTTCCAGCCTGAGCAGAAACTTCTCAGGGGTCTATGTGTGGCTTGCTCCCTTTCCATGACTCTCTTATGGCTGTCTCTGACCCAGTCACTGTGATACCGTGACACCAGAAACCCTGAAACCAAGCTGTTCTGTGGCTCAGTTTTAAACAGTTAACTACTTCCCCAAATACCGCCCTTTTAAACCTCCAATATCCCAGGCACTGCACAGGATTTCTTCTCCAACTTTTATCAGAGGTGGATTTCTTCTGATTGTCTAGAAAGGGGGACATCATAAAGGGCTAAAGAAAAAAAGACAATCGAGACTTGCTCAATTTCAAAGTATATGGGGAGCCAGGAGGTCAGTGCCTCAGAGTGGGCAAAGACAAAGACTCTGAGCTAGCCACTATTTACTGGGTACATAATAATTGGGGGGAGTATTAGGTGACTTAGGGTGTGGTAGTGATCTTATATCTGATTCTGTACCAATTTCATGCTGATGAGGGCAGAAAGGAGAGCATTCCCACACAGTTGGTGGGATGAGTTGAGCTGATAAGGAACTCTTCCCTCCTCAGGTGAAACCTTTTTCTTACGTATTACTACTGGGTTCTCAAGGAACCAGGATGTCTTCAGCTGATGCAATCTTTTGAGCGCCACAGCATCACAGACCACTGAGGCCTCAGCTGTGACCGCAGGCAAAATGGAGTTATGTTTCTGCATGCCTTAGCCAGCTCATGGGCAAGGCAACATTGGACTTTAGACAGCTATAGTCATATTTTAATTATGAAATGATTTTTCCCCAAAATTTATGTAGAAATGCTCCCGAAAAACTCTATCCTGCCTTATGGAAGGAATCACTTTCAATGTAACTGAAAAACTACACACTGGTTTTGCAGTTTACAATAGCTGTGGGCTCTTCTTGGGGCTAGTGCTGCTGGTTCCATCTATTGTTTCCCCCTGAAGCTGCTGCACCTCCAGGCTTACAAACTCTCCCTGGGCATTGTCTTGTCCCTGACAGGCTGGTTGGTCTCCTGATACCACTACTGCCCAGTGCTGAGGGGAAACAAAGTGCAGAGTGGACTTATTGTATTTTGTGTTTCACCTTAAAGTTATGTATTTTTCCATAGTATAGATGTTAGAAATGAATATTTTTTCCTTCCTGCCTGCCTGCCTTATTTCCTTCCTTCCTACTTTCCTTCTTCCTATTTGTTTCTTTTTTCTGTTTCATGGTAAAACACATACTGGATGGTGTGCCTTGGCCACACTGTTTATCACTTGGTCTGCAAATAAATTTTGGGGACCACATCTCTCTGTGGAAGATCTTAGCAACCTACATAGGAACTACAACTTTTGGGCAATGTGAAACGTAGACTTAATCCTGTCACGGGGAAGGTGGCCTCTGTGCGCACACTTCTGACACTGCTGGCGGATGTATGAATTTCACTCCACTGTCTTGGTTAGGTATGGGTTTTCTTTCTTGGGTGCTTCATTTCCATCTGTTGCTTTGTATTCATGGCCACATTAATGAAAACCCTAAGTCTGGGTTACCTGTGGAGCTACTTCTGTGTTCTGCATTTGGGATCTTTAGTTTCTGTTTCCTGGTCATTTTGGGCTGAAAATTCAACCAATGAGATCTTCTTTGCCAGGAGACTTAACTTTTTTGCAAAGTCTAAGCAGAGCACCTTGATGGACCTGAGGCTGGTGTATTTTTGTCTGCTCAGATCCCAGGCCATAATGATTCTGCAATCTCAAAAGCTCATGGGCTTGAGGCTCACTTCTGTGATAGGGCTAGAAGTACAAATCATGTCTCCCTAGCGGAGACTGTTAAATATTGGCTCAGAACTCTTAGAGGCTTCAAGAAGTTGCCTCTAAAGGGCCAGGGATTTAGCTCAGTGGCACTGCGCCTGCCTTGCAAGCACAAGGTTCTGAGTTTTACCCCTAGTACCAGAAAAAAAATTAAAAAAAAAAAAGAAGTTACCTCTAGCAGAATGTTTCTGTTCAGTTTTTTTGAGTGTTGCCCTAGACCTGTGCAGTTTGGCTGTGAATACCAGGAGAGGAAGGGCCACACTTGCTGGATTGATTTTGGTGCTGGTCTCACTGGTGCTCCAGGATTTTGGTTCCTCAAGGCTTTGCTGCTATATTTAACACCATTAGAGAGCCCTTCACACACCTGCTTCCTGTGTTTTAAATACTTTCATGGTTATTCTTGGGAGGCTAATTTGTTTGGAACAGCTAGTCCACCACAGAGAGAGACAGAGACAGAGACAGAGAGACAGAGAGAAAGGGAGGGAAGGAGGGAGCGGGTGGGGGAAGGGAGAGAGAGGTCCTTCAGGGATAATTTGAGTTTTAAAACTGAAAACCAGGTTATTTATACACAATGGAGAACTACACCACCATAAAGAAAGGTAAACCTGAGTCATTTGAAGAATAGATGCACCTGGAGACCTGATGCTAAGTGAAATAAATGAGACACACAAGCTTGAATATCATATGGTTTTCTTTCTGTGAGAAACTGAAAAAATAAAAAAAAGGAAAAGGAAAGACAAGTAATAGGAAGTAGGGAGACAGATGGTTCTCAGAGGGAGAGGGGATGAAGAGATGGAGGGAGTAGGGGAGGGAAAGGGAATGGAGAAGGAATGAAGATGTCCTGTGAGTGTGAAACTTTTGGTTGCCGAGGGGCGATGGCATTGTCAGTCTGGTCCCCCCCCCCACCCAGTGTACCTGTTCATGATCTTTACAGTGTTTTTCTGCAAAGTAATTTCTAGTTTTGTAAAAGGTCAGGTGGCTTTTTCTTTCATTTTCTTGCATGTTGTCTGCTCTCACAAGATCTCTACTTCCGCTGGTGCAGGCCGGGGGAGGGCCTAGACGGCAGTGGGCGTGGCCAGGTGGGTGGGGGCGGGGTCTGGTGGGGGTTGGCAGGTGCAGAGGACACTGCTTCCCAAGTGGACCAGAAGCAGCAAAAGGAGGGATGAGAGCCATGAGGAGGGAAACGGTAGGGAGGGGAGAGCCCATTGTGGGGGTCTTCCTGGGGCACAGAGATGGCCTGGCCCAGGTGGCCCAGCCGTTGGGGGATGCGATGGGGGCAGGGCAGGAGAGGCAGATGGGAGGGCGGAGCCAGGGAGGGCGTAACTCCCTCCATTGCCCAGGCCAGGGAGGCTGGAAAGGCAGAGGGTCAGTGCAGGCAGGGAAGGGAGGCACAGCCAGGTTCTGGTCCTGCACAGGGAGCAGTGGTCAGTCCAGGCTCTGTCCCTATCAGGGCGGGAACCTAGGGTCTCGTCCTTGGTGATCATCTGGCTGTGTACATCTCTGCACACACGCATGCACTGTTCTCAGTTGAACATTTCCATCTTTGGTTTTCTGCCATGTGTGTATTGCATTCATGCAGTGAATTGTTCTGAAATCTGGCTGTGGAGAACATCTTGCTCTGAATGCCGACAGACTTCTCATTGGGGACATCAGATGCCGCTGGACCACAGAACAGGCAGAGGAGTCTTTCAAGAGTTAAGGTGGCCCCA